AATATCTTATATATGTTTTCATCAAAATTTGTTTATAATTTTTTTATGAAAGCAAAAACGTTCAACACAAAAACATTTGTCTTATCGGTGTAACATATACGGGTGTCTATGGCAATTCTTGGTGGGATTATAAGAATGTCATTATATCTTCCTTCTAAGCCAAAATTGTGAATTTAAAGCTTTATTCACAGTAAATTTAGTGATCGAAAGTTCTGTATTAGTCGTTAGAATGACTTTTCGTTTTGAATGAATTGTTGTCTTGTTTCCCTCTTTTGAATGAATCATTTTTTTTGTGTATAGGTAATAATCAAACTAAACCAAATTGTAACCGATTACAACCAAAACAGTAAATCTATATTATATTTTGTTTGGTTTGATTTTGATGATATGAAAATCGATTAAATTGATTTGGTTTTGATTTAGATCAATAACCGTGAACACCCCTACTTGTTTTGATAATTCAGAATAAAATAATCTCAGTAGTATAGTAGAATATGAATAAGGAGGGCATAGAGCCAAAGAAGGCCTTAAGGCCTCGTTTATTTTCATTAAGATTAAGATATCTCAATTTGAACACATATCCGAATAATTAAGGTGTTATTTCTAAATTTGAATCATAAATAATTAAGATTTTTTTTTTTCAACATTTGCATATGCATACTTTATTATTTGTAAATATAATAAATTTAGAATTCAAATAAAAAAAGTAATTGGATATTAGAAAAATATTTAAATTTAATAAATATAAATTATTAGTTAATATTAAAAAATCGCTAGTGATAGTGGAGATGTGTTGTATAGTGATGGTAGCGGTAATGGCTAGTCAAGTGACTAGTAATGGTGGTGGTGATAGTTGTGATGGTGAAGTTGGTTGATGTTAGTAATTGGTGTTGGCCGAATAATGTGTGGTGGTTAATGATATATTGGTGATAGTAATGAGCGGCGGTGCTAGTTGTGATGATAGAGATGGTTAGAAGTAGGAAATGGTCATAGTGATGGTAGTGATTGACAGTGATAGTCAGTGGCGAATTTATATACTAAAACGGGACACCTGAATCTGCTATCTCTCAATAAAAATAGATATTTTATGTATATGTTTTTTAAATTGATATGGAGTAATATTATCTGTTAGCACACATAATAAAAAGGTTAAATAGTGCACTTGGTTGGAGATCAATTCTCATTTAACCTCTTTTTTTCTTCTTGTTTTTTAGTGGTGCACCATTTTCCCTATTAACTACCCCATTATCTTCCTATTCATTAGAAGGAAGATTTCCTCTCCTATAAATAGTGATGGTCTTCCTTTGGGTTGTAGACAACAAGAGATTACAAGAAAATATAAAGAAAAAAGATGAGTAGTATTATATTGTAAATATTAAGTTAGTGTAGTGAAAGAGAGAGTTGAGACAAAGGAAATATTCTAAGTCTTCAACTATATTCACTATATAAAAGAGAGTAATTATATGTTGAAGAATGTGTTCTTTTTGTGGAGCTTTGGACTCTTCAACTAATCCGGAGTTTGTTTGAGTTGTACGACGTTGTTGGACTGTTGTATCCTGGAGGGGACAAGTCAAGAGTGATATTGTTGGATCGGTGTAGATTATGCCGCAATGGGCTTGAATCTCCTTAAAGAGAGAGAGATATTCGCGCCTCAACCTAAATATTTGTTTATTCATTTTTGTCATTTTTATTTTCAACTGTAATTTATTATATTTGTGGTATATTACACCAACAGTAGGTGTGGTATCAACTGACAAAAATAATTGGCAACAGTGATAGTTTTTAGTAGTAGTTGTGATAGTTGATAGTGGTTGGCAGTTGGCGACGATAGTGGCGGTAACAATGATTGTGATGGCAGAAATGTTAGTAGTGGCTAGTGTTTGCAGATAGAGTGGCGGTGAAAAATTATCCACACAAAAATACCTCTCAATAAATTAAGATTTTGTTCAAGATCTTAATAATTAAAACCTATTCAAGTCAAACAATTATTTAAATCTTAATGTAAGCAAATACACTAAATGACCTAATGATTTAAACTTCTAATAAGTGCAAACAAATAAGGTCTAAATCTTACTTTATCAATCTTAAAATTGTTATTACTTTCAGAAAAAAAGCACATATTTGGATATAGACATTGGTCAAACTACGCACACAAGCGAGCTTACGATAATGCTGAAATAGTCTGAATTTAAATATGATTGAAGTTTATACATTTCTACTGAAGTTCAAGCAAAGTGATAAACTCCAACAATATGTGTATGAATTTCATGCAAAAATAATTGAACTTTTTGCTATATGTGCCTAAACTTCAGTCATATAATATGTCATACATTTTATCGATCAAGTCTAACTCCAGACACCACATGTATAAAATTATTCTAAAGTAGATAGAATTGCAAACTTTTATACATGGTAGATGTGGCTTAAATTGTGTTTCCAAAATCAAATATTTGTATACTTCGACCGTTAAGAATAGGAGAACTTGATCTCTAAGTTGACTCTTTATATATTACTAATTTAAATTGATAATTACATTCAAATATATATAATTGAATTTTATACATTATCTGTTTGAAATAGATCTTAAATTCTAATTAGGTTATTTTTTGAGTTCTTTTTAGAACTTTCCAAGAAAAAAACATAAAGCTAATTCAAAGAGTTTTTGCAATAATAGTTTTTGACTACGCACTTTGCACTTGTACCTATATTAATGACGACGAATATATAACTTTAAGAGATTATATAAATATTATTAAATAATAAGTTGAGTTATGAAATAAAATTTTAATAAGATTGTAAGCTCCTGGAAATAATAAACAATTAAAAAGGTTAAAATATACCTTCAACTTTTATCATGCCACTCAAATCATTCCAATTTTTCAAAGTGAAAAAACGTTAGGGGAATGGTATATTCGATGCAGAAGATAACAATGAGAAATTCTATGAATCGATAGATTAACGATAAGTATATATATATATATATATATATATTAGATAAATCAATATCATTTGGAATAATAAAAAGTTGTAGTAGGATAGTAGATGTTCTTTCATTTTTAATTAAATATTTTGGCTCAAGTTCTGAAATATAGTCGCTTCTTTAGGGTCTGCAGGGAGAAATGCAAACGTTATGCGTACCTTAATCAGATTTTACAATACTATAATCTAGATTAATCAAGTCCTAAAATAAATAGGTACGTTCAGACGCCAAATAAAAACTTTAGTTAGGTGTAGTTCTAATTTCTAGAAATTCTACAATAGAAGCATCAGTCAAATTTTGTGCTTCATAGTTAAGTTGGTCAAAACGACAATTCTGTTTTGGAAGTAAAGTGGAAAACGAAATGAAATCCATTTCAATCCAATTTTCCAAATACTTTTTCATGTAGGGTAAAAGAAAATGAGCTTTCACTTAACAATATACTTGGATCTTAAGCTAGAGAAATACATAAAAGAGGGAGCCTTTTTATAAAAAAAAATTAATAGTGGTGTCTATTCAATTTTTTTCGTACATCATATATGTTATATATCTTTCATCAGTACATCATGTATGTTACCATCAATTATATGTGTTTACTCCGAAATCAATGACTTAAAGTAACAAGTGAGGTGACCAAACGATAAAATTATTAATACTGAATTGCTGATAAAACTTGATTGAAATAACTAGTGAAAAAAGTAAATAATGAAACAATCGATAAAATAGAAATAACAAATGTTATCAGCCTATTTGCTATCGTGACATCGGACATAATGAAGTATTGTGTGAAGTGAGTATTCAAAATTGTGATGTGATACAAGTAGGAATAGAGATATATTTGTTAAAGCTAAACCCTAGGAAATGTTTTGCATGAATTTCGACCCTATAATAATTTATTGTTTTTGTTACACATAGGATGTTTCAAGCCTTGTGACTGTGAAACTAAACCAACAAAGATGGCAGGTCCAAACCTTTTGTAAATGTAGATCATTTTACCAGACAAACTCATATGGTGAGGTCGATACCGTCTCTGTTATGTCATGTCTGATTTGTCTTCAATTTTTACATATCATCATTCAATACGCCCAACTGTTAAGTCTCGATTTGGACACATACAAATAGAAACTTAAATAATAGTAACAAAAGGAGTAATTTGTGTTTTGCATCTTTAACATATACAATCTTTGTGACTCATAAAAAATCCTATTTTTTTCAATAATTTTCAAACTCATAAAAAATCTTTTTTTTCCAATAATTTTCAAATGGTAAAATAGGATATTAAAATTGAGAGATATTGGATTTGAATTATTATTCCTCACTCTAAGAAAAGTGCTATTTGGGAGTAGATTCAAAATTATCCCTGCTTTGAATAATTTTTGTCTTTAACTTTATCGAAGTTTAATATTTTTTATTTTTGTCAAATATATATCGAATTTTGTTAGTAAGATTCTATGAAAAATACGAAGATTTTTTTTTTAACGAGAACTCATAATTAGAGGTACAAAACAGTCAAAACTTTTGCAGGTTTAACTATTTATGCTTTCTCTAGATTCTGGTGCAGTTTTTTTAGGTGTAATTTTCATTGTTTTTGGTCTATTTTTTTTTTATGTGTGGTACAATTTCTTGTGTTGCGATATTAAAGATTTGATAAGATATTTTAATATTAAAACCTATTTTTTTTTAATAAAAATATGATCTCTTGATCATTTATAAATTGAATAAAAGAAAATAACATTTTCATCGATTGAAAATGAATCTCTCTTATAAAATAGACACATAGCTGAATTTTTTTTATTAGCAACCTATAACATCAATTCTCTTTCCTCCCCTCCCCCTGTCATATCTATCAAGACATAATTTGTTAAATATTTAAAGAAGATTACTAGTATTAAACTAAACTTAAAAAGGAACCAAAACTATTGAAAGCATACTTTAGGGACTATTTGAACTCAGTCTCAAATATGGGGAGCAAAATTGTCATTTTCTCACATAGAAATTTGGTTTTTGAAGATAGAGAATGGATGAATGAGAAAGCTTAAGGAAATTTTCTCTCCGTTGTAAAAGAGAGCGACTCGCAGAAGACCTTCACAGCAACAGCAAAATCCCATCTAATAATGGCGGCGATTGCAGCAGCTTCTACTTCCATGGCTTCTTCTGCCGTTTTTACTACTCATTTATCACTTTGCTACACCGCTAAAGCCGCCTCATTTTGCCGCTCTGCCCTACCTTATCTTCCACCCCGTGTTTCTGCTTCAGCCTTTTCTACTTCCTTCAAATTTGCAGGTAGTTTTTTCTGGAAATTTTGCTTTCCTCGAACTAATTTGGTTTTGTGAGTATTTTCTGCAATTTCAATTCATGTGATACTGCTATTTTTAGAGATTGTTTCAAAATCAAAATGTTAGCTGCCATTTGATTTTTGTAACTTTCCATTGTCCTCATGTACGGTTAGTAGGTCGAACATTGTTTACTATTAAGGTATGTATAACTAATACATGGAAATCCATGATATAATATGGTGCAAAGGGTTATAATAATTGTCCCTCAAAACTTTTTTCACATCATTTTCACTATATTTGTGGAAGTTATTTTTGTAAACAAATATTTTTTTTAGAAATTATGCAATTCATGTTATTTTTTATACATCAAACCAAATAGTGCATAAGAAATAGTCTCAGTATAACTAATGCAATCATAACTGTACAAGCATCTTAGTAATTTATTCTTCGATTTTACTATTAGGTGATGTTTTATTTGCTTCAATTATCGTATTTTTTATGGTGTTGCTAATGTGCTCTTCTTCATTCTTTTCAACATAATTTCTTCGCTACTGTATTTGATTTGCATACTTGTTATTTTATACTAGTCGTGTTTATTTCTTCAGCTTGATCATGATGTATTTGGATTTCGACTATTTCACCACTTTTTTTTTTTGTTGTCACTGATCATCAACTCTCTTAATTTCCTCTCTGGTCAAGATTTTCTTGTTGTGGGTGTTGGGATATGAACTCCATTGAATGAAAAGAGTAAAATTTAGATTTGGTTTGGATGGATGGATGGATGTGGGTGGGGGGTTTCTTATACAGAAAAGATGCTTTCGGAGATTATATATATCATATATGTAGGGGTTTGGCTATAAAAAGGTAGATTCTAGTGAGGGAATATAGATACCAAAGCGGTATTTTTCGTTTTACCCTTTTAAAAATCTACACCCCTTGTATTATGCAAACTCTACATTTACCCCTTGTATTGGATTTGGATTCTTTCCACCATTTTTTTTGGATATATTTTATCAAATAATTTATGTTTATTTTTTATTTATGAGTTTTAAAAGATATACATTTTGAAATTATTTGCTCTTTTTTGAAATATTAGTTCTCGAACACGTGCAACGCCCGTGTATTCCATGCTATATAATATAAATATTTTACAAGTTCAAGAACTTGAACGAATTTTCTTAGTCCAAATAAAAATACAATGTTTATAATCCATGCATTAGCTTTGTGTATTACTAATACCATGTGTGGTACACTTTTTCAACATATGTATAATTATACACTGTGTTTGGAATTAAGGTATGTATCGCTAATACATGGAAATCCATGATATAATATAGTGCAAATGGTTTTAATGCATACATTAGTACGGTTAAAAATACAATTGTCCCTTAAAACCTTTTTCACATCATTTTCACTATATTTGTGGAAGTTATTTTTGTAAACAAATATTTTTTTTAGAAATTATGCAATTCATGTTATTTTTTATACATCAAACCAAATAGTGCATAAGAAATTGTTTCAGTATAATAATGCAATCATAACTAATACAAGCATCTTAGTAATTTATTCTTCGATTTTACTATTAGGTGATGTTTTATTTGCTTCAATTATCGTATTTTTTATGGTGTTGCTAATGTTCTCTTCTTCATTCTTTTCAACATAATTTCTTCGCTACTGTATTTGATTTGCATACTTGTTATTTTATGCTAGTCGTGTTTGTTTCTTCAGCTTGATCATGATGCATTTGGATTTAGACTATTTCACCACTTTTTTTTTTGTTGTCACTGATCATCAACTCTCTTAAATTTCCTCTCTGGTCATGATTTTCTTGTTGTGGGTGTTGGGATATGAATTCCATTAAATGAAAAGAAATAAAATTTAGATTTGATTTGGATGGATGGATGGATGGGGTGGGGGGGTTTCTTATAGAGAAAAGATGCTTTCGGTGATTATATATATCATATATGTAGGGGTTTGGCTATAAAAAGGTAGATTCTAGTGAAGGAATATAGATACTAAAGCGGTATTTTTTGTTTTACCCTTTTAAAAATCTACACCCCTTGTATTGGATTTGGATTCTTTCCACCATTTATTTTTGATATATTTTATCAAATAATTTATGTTTATTTTTTATTTAGGAGTTTTAAAAGATAAACATTTTGAAATTATTTGCTCTTTTTTAAAATATTAGTTCTCGAACACATGCAACGCATGTGTATTCCATGTTATATAATATAAATAATTTACAAGTTTAAGAAATTGAACGAATTTTCTTAGTCCAAATAAAAATACAATGTTTATAATGCATGCATTAACTTTGTGTATTACTAATACTAGGTGTGGTACACTTTTTCAACATATGTATAATTATACCCTGTGCTTGGTATTAAGGTATGTATTACTAATACATGGAAATCCATGATATAATATGGTGCAAATGGTTTTAATGCATACATTAGTACGGTTAAAAATGCAATTGTCCCTTAAAACCTTTTTCACATCATTTTCACTATATTTGTGGAAGTTATTTTTGTAAACAAATATTTTTTTTAGAAATTATGCAATTCATGTTATTTTTTATACATCAAACCGAATAGTACATAAGAAATAGTCTCAATATAACTAATGCAATCATAACTAATACGAGCATCTTAGTAATTTATTCTTCGATTTTACTATTAGGTGATGTTTTATTTGCTTCAATTATCGTATTTTTTATGGTGTTGCTAATGTTCTCTTCTTCATTCTTTTCAACATAATTTCTTCACTACTGTAGTTGATTTGTATACTAGTCGTGTTTGTTTCTTCAGCTTGATCATGATGCATTTGGATTTGGACTATTTCACCACTTTTTTTTTTGTTGTCACTGATTATCAACTCTCTTAAATTTTCTCTCTGGTCATGATGTTCTTGTTGTGGGTGTTGGGATATGAACTCCATTGAATGAAAAGAAGTAAAATTTAGTTTTAGTTTGGATGGATGGATGGATGGGGGTGGGGGGTTTCTTATAGAGAAAAGATGCTTTTGGTGATTATATATATCATATATGTAGGGGTTTGGCTATAAAAGGTAGATTCTAGTGAGGGAATATAGATACTAAAGCGGTATTTTTCATTTTACCCTTTTAAAAATCTACACCCCTTTTATTTTGCAAACTCTACACTTACCCCTTGTATTAGATTTGGATTCTTTCCACCATTTTTTTTTGATATATTTTATCAAATAATTTCTGTTTATTTTTTATTTATGAATTTTAAAAGATAAACATTTTGAAATTATTTGCTCTTTTTTAAAATATTAGTTCTCAAACACGTGCAACGCACATGTATTCCATGCTATATAATATAAATATTTTACAAGTTCAAGAACTTGAACGAATTTTCTTAGTCCAAATAAAAATACAATGTTTATAATCCATGCATTAGCTTTGTGTATTACTAATACCATGTGTGGTACACTTTTTCAACATATGTATAAGTATACATTGTGTTTGGTATTAAGGTATGTATCGCTAATACATGGAAATCCATGATATAATATGGTGCAAATGCTTTTAATGCATACATTAGTATGGTTAAAAAGACAATTGTCCCTTAAAACCTTTATAACATCATTTTCACTATATTTGTGGAAGTTATTTTTGTAAAACAAATATTTTTTTTAGAAATTATGCAATTCATGTTATTTTTTATACATCAAACCAAATAGTGCATAAGAAATAGTCTCAATATAACTAATACAATCATAACTAATACAAGCATCTTAGTAATTTATTCTTCGATTTTACTATTAGGTGATGTTTTATTTGCTTCAATTATCGTATTTTTTATGGTGTTGCTAATGTTCTCTTCTTCATTCTTTTCAACATAATTTCTTCGCTACTGTAGTTGATTTGTATACTAGTCGTGTTTGTTTCTTCAGCTTGATCATGATGCATTTGGATTTCGACTATTCCACCACTTTTTTTTTTGTTGTCACTGATCATCAACTCTCTTAAATTTCCTCTCTGGTCATGATTTTCTTGTTGTGGGTGTTGGGATATGAACTCCATTAAATGAAAATAAGTAAAATTTAGATTTGGTTTGGACGGATGGATGGATAGGGGTGGGGGGCTTCTTATAGAGAAAAGATGCTTTCGGTGATTATATATATCATATATGTAGGGGTTTGGCTATAAAAAGGTAGATTCTAGTGAGGGAATATAAATACTACAGAGGTATTTTTCGTTTTGCCCTTTTAAAAATCTTCACCCCTTGTATTATGCAAACTCTACACTTACTCCTTGTATTGGATTTGGATTCTTTCCACCATTTTTTGTGATATATTTTATCCAATAATTTATGTTTATTTTTTATTTATGAGTTTTAAAAGATAAACATTTTGAATTATTTGTTCTTTTTAAAAATATTAGTTCTCGAACACGTGCAACGCACGTATATTCCATGCTATATAATATAAATATTTTACAAGTTCATTAACTTAAACGAATTTTCTTAGTCCAAATAAAAATACAATGTTTCTAATGCATGCATTAACTTTGTGTATTACTAATACTAGGTGTGGTACACTCTTTCAACATATGTATAATTATACCCTGTGTTTGGTATTAAGGTATGTATTACTAATACATGGAAATCCATGATATAATATGGTGCAAATGGTCTTAATGCATACATTAGTACGGTTAAAAATGCAATTGTCCCTTAAAACCTTTTTCACATCATTTTCACTATATTTGTGGAAGTTATTTTTGTAAACAAATATTTTTTTTTAGAAATTATGCAATTCATGTTATTTTTTATACATCAAACCGAATAATGCATAAGAAATAGTCTCAGTATGACTAATGCAATCATAACTAATACAAGCATCTTAGTAATTTATTCTTCGATTTTACTATTAGGTGATGTTTTATTTGCTTCAATTATCGTATTTTTTATGGTGTTGCTAATGTTCTCTTCTTCATTCTTTTCAACATAATTTCTTCGCTACTGTATTTGATTTGCA